GCTGAGCATAGTAAAACGTCCTTTATGACTTGTAGCTGCTGTATTGGTCCCTAAATTTTCATTTCCTCAGGCCCTGTAGTTAGGCGGTATTACATATTAAATTATTATACTATATGCAGTATTTTATAAACCGCAATCTTACACGATAACTTAAGAAATATATATTTAATTAATAGGCCAGTTGAAAAGCGGTTATTTCAATTTCGAAAACTATATTCACTAAGAATAGTGTGTTCCACTGAAGATATGACGTTATAAACTAGTGGATATTTGTAATATGCATATTTTACAGTAATGATATCTATGTTTTGGATTATTACACACATCACGGAAGGGAGAAATGTGTGCCATATATTACGTACGATGGTATTATAAATAAAGTCTCGTTTGTTTTGTTACCAAATACGATTAAGAAGTAACTCTGTACTTGTCCCTGGTAAATTTATTATTACAAGATCAGGACGCGAACAAGGAAGGTGATAGTACAGAGTTGTTCTAGTTCATAGATTAAACCATATTTCATATTCAGTTTTATTGTTCTGTTCTACTGCGATTTTTTTTTTGAGGGCGTCCAATTGATTAATTGGCCTGGCAATTGTTCGATATTAACTTTGCTTATGGACGTCTTATTATACGCTAAACTAAATACACATATTCGGGGGGGGGGGGTTAAAACCGAAATCACCCCCCTGCCCGAAGCCAGTCAGCGATGCCATTACACTAGAACAACGATTTTCTCGATTTTTAGAATTTCCGCTGATGAATTTTTCAACTCGCAAACGTTCGATTTTTCCACTGTTATAAGAATCAGAAAATATTTTTTTCATAGTATTGTGTTTCCAAAGTTGCACAAATCTCCGATAGAGTAGGGGTTAGAGGTGACAACGAAACTCTTTCAAACTCTAATTCACCTCCCGCACACCAAACCTCGACACCTCAGAGGCGGCGGCACGAAATTATGCCCTGGGGGTGTAAGATCTGCTCACCATCCCTGACGCCCGATGCGGGACCTTACTCGGGTCGTCCGAGGCATGTCCCCCACCTCCCCAAATTTTTTTGAGTTTGATTCGGGCGATTGCTCCTCCATTCCCCCCCCCCCCCCGTGCCGCCGCCACTGCAACTGGTTAAGTTAACAGAAATGTCTGCAAATTACATTTTTCATTTTTTTATATGTCATGGAATTCTGGGAAAAAATAAAAAAGTATGCCACTCACTTCTTTTGGTATATACGCATACGAAATGAGCTGTAGCTTATTACAAGTCTATATAAGGACAAAAAACCAAGAATAACAGAAGTAAAATGAGTCACACGTCAGATAGGTGGGAGTAAGTATCACGTATCCGCTAGCTAATAATGTCGTAGGGCATAGTTCAGTCTGCTATGTTTTTGTATTACAAAATCATCATTTTGTAAACTTTGAAGACTAAATTAAAACATTTCTACGGCAGTTTTAAATTAAAATTTATTCTTGACAATTAGCAATATAATTAACATACAACGTTCTCAAGTAACTGACACATTAATTATGCACATGACAATCGTCCTTTGTTTAGGCTTTTGTTTAGTGTTCTCCCTGCTTCGCAAACGTACATTCGGCCCCAGAAATGTCTAGTTAGTAATATAATAGCACCACAAGACCTGTTTTCAGTAAATTGAGTGTTTTTTTCTATTTCAGCAATAGTGGGAAAAACCCGGTAAGTAGTCTAATAACAATGCCTGTCGCGAATTCACAATGATCTATTTATAGCAACGGGGAAATTCCAATTAGTAATGCGGCGTACGTCGATTGGGGGCGGTACAGTTATTATATAAATGACGTTATTGTCCATGTTTTTGTATTTATCATGTGCCAAATCCTATAAATCATTAATAAAAGTCTGTATAAAGGTATGTAATATATTATTAAGCATGCTTTATTGCAGGGAATACTGTTCATTGGCTGCGCGGTATTCTCTAGCATTGGTAGGACATACGAGTGTTCTGCAAAATCTAAAACAACCCATCGACTGATTTTTAAATTAAGATGTATGGCACCCCTCTTTTCGATAAAATGCTGATTATGGAATTATCAACACACCTATACTTTAAAGTCATCGCGATACTGTATTGCCTGAATGCACATTTTACGATAATCTTGCGATCATTTTTTCCAACCTTGTACTCACAATTTAATGAAATATAGCCCATTTGTCTGAAAAGCCTGCAAAAATTCTCATGTCTATGCAGTGGCGTGATTTTATTTCAGTTCTGCTACATTATTGCTGCTTTTGAAATAAACAAACGGATTTATAATCATGCTGTGATTTCTCTTGCGCAGCTAGGAATTTACGAACGGGTTTGAACTTAGCAATGGGTTCATATTCATATAAGAATATTGTGTACATTTTAATGTACTGTGGTACGTCAATTTAACATAACACCGCACCACTCCCAATTTGGTCTGATACTTTTTTGTTGTTTGCACGAATATCCTGAATAACAAATAGACAGATGAAACGGCATATATCACGGGTTTGTCTTGGCTTTGTCATAGATGTATATAGTTTAACGATCTTTATGGGCCGCAGGACAAATATGGATGATTTCCACTGTAACTAGATGCCCCGCTGTTCGTTTGCCATCTCATAGTACATGGACGGCACGATAATGCATATGTACAATATAAAACAAGTACAAGTCAATAGGTAGTTACGTTTACATAAATATGCATTTTAACGTGATTTTCCGAGCCCCCGTGATATAATCAAAACAGTATGTTATTTTTAATAGACACACTGACACCAAATAGAGAAATAGTAGTTGTTATAGAAGTCGCAGTACAGTATCTTACGTAAAATGGGAAGTACTTTTGACCTTGTTTGTCCTATCACGCCAACTGAGAATACTGGAACGTTCCCTGTGATTGGTGTATTTATCATATCACGTTTCACAGAGTGTGGTGGTGGTAGCAAATGTGATTGGTTGGTTGTTCTATAACGTTTTAATACTGAGCATGATGGGATTCCACTTGTCATTCGTGTTATGTACGTTTCCACGAGCACTTTAAGCGAGCGTAATTTAGGCAGTGATGTTACAGGCAACGGCAAACAAATATGATTATAGTGATTGTTTAGGCTTTTCTTGACGGCTTTATTTCCTCATCTTGGCGTGAAGTGGTTCCAATTAATGTTTCAGTGCACGAAACTGAGTAAATGTGCAAACTGGAAGGCACTTCGACAGTGCAACCCCTCACAAACTCGAACTCAAATGGTATACACAGGGGCGGATAAAGGATTTTTTTTATGGGTGTGGGGGTCCAAACTTTAAAATCGCCAGACTAAGTTAATGATTAATTTATATTATACAAAAACAAATTGAATACATTTTTCAACGTGGGGGGGGGGGTCCGGACCCCAAGAACCCACCCCTAGATCCGCCACTGATACATTCACTATACTCACATTATAAGCTTCTAAAAAAGAAAGACTAAATTTAGTTTGGAATAAGTTTGTTCACTAAAAGAAGCACTACCTGGCAATAGTGAAGCAACTGGATCCATATCTCTCCTAAAATGTAATGGTTTGGTTTATATTTGAAGGACAACCTAATTTTTGTGTGTGAAAAAACTGTTTCTATGGTAACCGGTAGCCCTCATTTAATGCATTGGACCTTGCATTAAATGACAACCTCTCCTGAAAAATGTATGCAAATACACACAAAATCCATCCCAAAAGTGCTGTTTCCATGGTTACCTCACCCATATCTGTACCAATTCCCGGGATCGCAGCTACGTCACTGTGTATTTTCATGGGCTATACGGAAGCTGTTGTAGAACACAGCTAAAGTCGAGAAAACTCTGATTATTATACTGTAACTGTGAGTCCGACTATTATACCACGTCCGTTCCCGAATTCCCATTTAGGATAGGTCAAACGGGAACTATATGATACTAATGCTACCTACTCGTCACCGCGATGTGGTGAACGCTACAAGTACGAGCAATGCCAAACAATTCAGTTCAGTGCGACTTTGTTTTAATCTGGCGTTGATTCGTTTCAGTTGAAGCTGTGCGACATCCTGCTATACAAATATATACAGATAATATACATAGTAGCTGACTATAATGTATATAATCTATACCTTATACCAGTGTATTTTATCCCTGGACCATAGACACGTCTTTACTGCCTAAGTCACTGAGTCGTTATGAATGGCTCCTCATCGTGCGATGTGTGGTGGCGCTGTCATTTTAGGAGATGACTCATTGAATCTTATGACCGATTCGAAACGAAACGAAAATTCCGACCATGTACTTACTAAGGGGGGGGGGGGTATTCCTACCAGCAGATATACATGTACGGGTAAAACGGTCCCATATCACGGGATTGTCGTGTAATAACCGCTTATCATTTCTACTGGAACTGACACACTCGTTCTTAATCGATGTTTGTTGGCCATCTCATAGTATGTGGGGAGCGTGATATCGCATATGTTCAACATAAAACAAGTACAAATCAATAGGTGGCTACTTTCACGTAAATGTGCAGTTTAACGTGATTTCCATAGCCCCCGTGATATAACCAAAACAGTATGTTTTCTTAATAGACCTACTGACACTAAATGAAGAATTAGTTTGTGTTTTACAATCTCAGACAGTATCTACGTAAACTGGGAAGTACTTAACTTTTTACCTTGTTTGTCCTATCACGCCCACTGAGCATACTGGAACGTTCCCTATGATTGGCGTATTTATCATATCACGTTCACAGAGTGTGGTGGTAACAAATGTGATAAGCCTACCTGTCCAATCACGCCGACTGGGCATAGTGGAATGTTCACTATGATTGGCATATTTATCATATCACGCTCACAGTGTGTGGTGGTGGTGGTAACAAATATGATTGCCCTATCTGTCCCATCACGCCGATTGAGCGTAGTGGAATGTTCACTATGATTGGAGTGTGGTGGGCGTTGCAAATGTGATTGGTTGGTTGTTCTAATATGTTTTAATACTGAGCATGATGGGATTCCTCTTGTCATTCGTGTCATGTACGTTCATACGAGAACTCTAAGCGATCGTAATTTAGGCAGTGATATTACAGGCAACGGCCAACAAATATGATTATAGTGATTGTTTAGGCTTTTCTTGACGGCTTTATTTCCTCATCTTGGCGTGTAGTGGTCTCAAATAATGTTTCAGTGGACGAAACTGAGTAAATGTGTAAACTGGAAGGCACTTCGACAGTGCAACCCCCTCCTATACGCACATTACATATCCTCAATAATATCTCTACTCTATTGTAAACATTCACCATACACATTATAAACTTCTAAAAAGAAAGACTAAATTTAGTTTGGAATAAGTTTGTTCATTAAAAGAAGCACTACCTGGCAATAGTGAAGCAACTGGATCCAGATCACTCCTAAAATATAATGGTTTGGTTTATATTTGAAACTCAATATTTGTTTTTATTAAACTTGTCAGTGTTAGAAATCCGTTTCTATGGTAACTGGACCTTGCATTAAAAGACATTTTCTCGTGAGAAATGTATTAAAAACCATCCCGAAATTGCAGTCCGTATCATTTCCATATCTCTTCCAATTATGGGGAAGCAACTTCGTCACAGAATGTTTCATGTTGCTTAGACGCGCACCACTGTACCATGTATTTATATGGACTTTGCGCGAGCTGCCGTGGAATGCCGGTCGAGCCGGTGAAAACAGCTAAAGTCGAGAAAACAGCGCAAACTCAACTTTGAAGTAATCCTGATCAACCAAATTTATATACGTTGCACGTGTAGGGGTTATCTTGTTACACTGTTCAGGGGAGTCTCTACAACTAGCCCAAAGTGTTATAGCTTGGCGTGTAAGAAAACCACACAATCGCTACCATACTAGCTGACACATTTACCCCTGGGTGAAAGAAGCACACTTGAAGTAATGTTTCACCGACATAACAATTAATATACTGTAACTGTGAGTCTGACTATTATTCCTTGTCCCTTCCCGAATTCCAATTTAGGATAGGTCAACTGGGAGCCATAGTATACTAACGCTACATGCTCATCATGTCGAGGTGTGAACATCAACACTGGGTCCTAACAATTTAGTCCCGTGTGACTTTGTTTTATTTTAATATGGTGTTGATTTGTTCCCCTTATATCTGTTCGCCATCCTGCTATACAAATATATACAGATAATGTACATAGTAGCTGACTATAATGTATATATAATCTATACTTTATACCAGTGTATTTTATCCCTGAATCATCCACACGTCCTCACCACCCAAGTCACCGAGTCGTTATGAATGACTCCTCGTCGCGTCGATCGATGTGTGGTGGCGCTGTCGTTTTAGGAGATGAGTCATTGCATCATATGACCGATTCGAAACTAAAGTTTTAATCTGACTCATTCATGGTTCTAGGTCCAATGTAAAACAACAACAACTCCGAGCACGATTTTTTTTGGGGGGGGGGGGGTATTCATACCAGCAGTTACACATACACTTAGTGTAACATCGAACGTGACAGCGTCAAATCGTTGTATTCTTTAGATTTGTAATATTTGGAATTTCATTAATATGATTAATATACATTGTGTCAAGTCGCAAAAATCCAAATTATGTCGAACATTATTATATATATTAAAATAAACTTACAATAGCACATGTGTCTTGTTACAATATATCACACTGCGACGTCCGTTGTTACATCAACAAACATACTAGTATATGTAAAGTGCGACATATTCAGTGCCGAAGGTTGCCATGGTAACTGAGAATACACTATTTTGAGACATACTAAGAAATATATGTAATGGGAAGGTGACCCAATATTCCTCGTTTTCCGATAACATCTTGTCTTTACAGAACACGATTTACTTGACAAAGACATTATTCAGCCTGACGTACATAGTATCTATTAATAGTAGTGGGGATTTTGCATCCAATAATAGCACTTTTGATCTCACAGGTTTTTCCAAATTCTATATTTAGTACAAGTAACCTGTAGAATACTGTGTGGGTAATATTTTTATATTGATTTTTGTTGCATTTGCAGCAAATAGTTACCAAACAATGAGAAATCTATAGGATTGGATATACCTCTCAGCTGGCTTCACATGCATAGTTCAAGACTGCCTAACCGGTGCTTATACCAGGATTTAGTTGCAGCACTGTGGTATGTGGTTACAGCTTCATTTTCCGAGTAATCACAAGAAATTGACATGACAATAGAAATTCATGAAAGACTGGCACTCCCATACAATTAATAGCAAGTAAAATTCCTGGAATTGAAACATAGATTTTGAAGTCACTGGTGTAGGCATTGAATAACTTCAAGTTGGCATAAAGACGAGGTAGTTTATTTAATCAGTGCTGAACTAGAGGTTGAACTTATAATTAAGTTCGTTGTCATATAATTTGTTTATTTAAATTTCTCCTGAATTCAAATAGAATACACTGGTGAAAGGATGTTTTTGAGGTGTGGTTACATTGTGTATGGAGTG